ACTGAACAAAATTAACTACATGATGAAAATCCTACTACGTGATTGGAAAGTAAATTTCATAGTTCTGATAACAATTTGTGAATGTTATTAAGCGTCTTTTTTAATAAAGAGCGTAGCTTAACTAATTTTAGGGATACATGCCGTTTTGCAACACCCTCGTATTTAGAATTCTCATAAAAGATCATAAACACAATACCTTTCTGGTATAAAAGTCGGCGCTAATGAACAACAATGGTAATTATTAAATAAATAATAAAAACGTCGATGATCCCATTGTTGCCGTAAAATATAAAAACGAAAAGCCAAACATACAAATATTTAAACAGAACTGTTCTCGATAAATCGATTTATTTGTTCGTTCATTACTTTTCAACATCCAATATAACCAAACAAGTGATACTTGCCAAACTTTAGAAGGACCGTTGCCAAGTTTTTGGAGATTAGCAAATAAATTCTAATAATGCAGAATTTCCTAATAATCGATTGTGTGGCTTCTGGATCAACTGTAATTTTCTTCTGTTTTTCCCCCAAAATTTGACGATATTATTTACTATTTTGCTGAGTAATTTTTATTCAAAATGTGCAAAATAATACGCTCTTCAGACTGTCGTCGATTCTTTCTTTCCTTTTACTTCTCAAGTTAACTAATTTTTTCGACGATCGTAATGTTCGAAACAGCAATTTACGGGGGAACGCTAGACGAGAGACAAGTTTGAATTGGAAAACCAAAAAATCTAAACCGAGAACTTGAAAAATCGAATAATCGAGACATCAAAACATCAAGGAAAACAAAAAAATTAACGGAAAATCTAGAACTTAAAAATTGAAAAATTAAAATACCTATCGAAAAATTGAAAAACCGAGAAATCGAAACATCAAAAAATGGAAAAATTGAAGAACCGAAACATTGCAAAATCTCAGAACTGAAATACTGAAAAACTGAAAAATGGAAGGAAAATTGAAAAATCGAAAAAAAGAAAAAATTCAAAACTGAAATCTTGAAAAACTGAAAAATGGAAAGAAAATTGAAGAATCGGAAAAGTGAAAAAATCCAAAAACTGAAACATTTAAAAATCCAGAAATCGAAAAATTGAAAAATCACAATTGAAGAAAGAATTAAAAAATCAAGAAATAGAGAAATGGGAAAATCAAAAAATCAGTTAATCGAAAAATTGAAAAATCGAAAAATTTAGAAACGTCAAAAATTGAAAACTGAAAAATAAAAAAATTTAAAAATCGTAAAACTGAAATATCGTAAAGTTAATAAATTGAAAAACTGAAAATTTTTGAAAAAAAAAAATCGTATCAAAAACTAAAAATTCAAAAAATCGAGAAATTGAACAATCAAAAAATCAAAACATTGAAATTCCAGTAAGTAGATAAATAGGAAAATTTAAAAAACAGAAATTTTAAAAATCCAAGAATTGAACAACAAAAAAAATCTAAGCCTGAAAACTCAGAAAATTGAATGATAGAGAACAAAAAATCTAAAATTTAAAAATTCGGCAAATTGAAAAATCATGGAAGTGAAAAATCGATAAGTCGAGATAGTGAGAAATCTAAAAACCTAAAACTTTAAAAACTGAAAATTTAAAATATCGAAAAATTTAAAAACCGAGAAAACACAATATCAAAAATTTGAAAAATTGAAGAAACGAAATATTGCAAAATTCCAAAGCTGAAATATTGAAAAACCTAAAAATGGAAGGAAAATTAAAGAATCGAAACAGTGAAAAAATCCCCAACTGAAACATTGAAAAATTGAGAAATGGAGAAATAGGAAAATGAAAAAAATTGGTCTAAAGAGTTTAGACAGTACTTCCCTCGCTATCGGAAACGTGACGACTGCATGCCTATTATGTTTTTTTTTTTCACATTCGATTTCAAAGCATTCGGTTTTGTAGTTCCTGATTAAATCATAAAATAAATTTGCGCATTCATTAAATTTTTTGAGTCACCCTGTATATCCGATTCCAAAAAATATGAATGGAATGATAAATTACAAGAAGGGACTCATCATATTTTGTAAATTTTAAATAAGATTATACGGCAAACTTTTGAGCTGACGTCATCAATTTTTTGGAGGGGATAAGCAAATATATTTTGACTAAAAATTTATTATGCTTTTTATAACCTTAAAACATTTGCAAGATTTTAAAGCATTGGGCTCTGTAGTTCCTGATTAAATCAATAAAATAATTTACGCATTCATTAATTTTTGGAGTCATCCTGTATATGCAAATCCAAAAAACATGAATGGAATGATAAATCACAATAGATCATTAATTTTCCTCTGATAATCCTGTTAAAATTATTCGACGTATTTTGCATTAATTTGTGGTATATTTGGATTTTAATAAACACATTATTATTTAAACAAATTGTACCACTAACAAATATTTAATGACTCTGCGCCCTGTAAAAAGTGATGTTTTATCCATGTGCGAATTTTCAAGCGATTCTCTGATGGTTATGACTCAAAAAACTTGAAAAGAAAACATACAATGATGCTTTTTTTTTACGATATTTCTCAGCCATATTTTTTTAATTGATTGAACTGGTCTCTGCGCTCTAGAATATGAAAAAAGCTGCAGTTTGATGTAGGATACATCTATATTAATATCATTTTTTCATACAAAAAACCAAAAAAATATTATACCTCGTCTAGCGAGTCCCCTTAAGGGTTATGCAACCAAATATACTTGAAATGTCTAAGTTTGCTTTGGCATTTTATTAAATTGGTATGCAACCAACAATACTTTGACATTTCTGTCGAGTTTATATTATTTAAATTTGTTTCACAATACATTTTTTATTAAAAAACACCGTGTTGATTCAGCTTTTAAATATCGCCTTAATTTTAAAAAACTTTGAAATTGAAATAACAAACTTTGTTAGATTGGTATGCAACCAATAATACACTGACATTTCTGTCGACTTTAGTTTAATCGTTGAATAATGAGACTCATTATTGATCAATTTTGGACACCAAATTTGTTCGTAATTCCTATCATTTTTGCAGTATCGCCAACTAAAATGTGGCAATTTTTAGGACTCTCACTGTTTTTTTTTTCAAATCAAATCTTTCAAAAATTTTGTTCTGGGACAATAAAACTTTTATATAGTTTTTAATTAGCACGTTGTGATTTTCTTAGAGGGGATGTCGTGTAGCAAAATTAGTCTTATAATACCAAGTAGTAGACCGCCTACCCACCCTTTATTTTCATAGAGGTATATCACTGGGCAAAATTAATCTTATCTTAGTAAGTATATATCAACCCCAACCACTCTCCCTTCATTTCCTTAGAGAGTTGGTCATTTGCCAAAGTTAGTCTCATTTTGGCAAGTACTAGCCCCGCCCGCCCGCCCTTTATTTTCTTAGAGGTATGCCATTTGACAAAGTCAGTCTTACCTTAGTAAGTACGAGCTTATATTTTGTCTTTTTTCTTAATATACGTTGTCGTCTTTTCAGAACAAGAAACTTAAAACATGTTTAAAATGGTAAGTTCTTGTAGACAAATATGGATCTTGCAATTAAGCCCCGCCCCTCGATCTGACAACGAATGAAAAATTCATCACAATTGAGAATTGACAACGGGGCGGGTATGGGTGGGGCCTAATCTTTGGGTTTATTTTTTTCTTAATATACATAGTATTCTTTGAACAACACGATTCTCAATAACATGTTTTTAATTTTTCGTAGGAAAAATAAGGATTTGCAGTTAAGATCCGCCGTCTTTGCTCACAACGAATAAAAAAAAATCATCACAATTGAGATAGGGCGGGTGGGCGGGGCTACATTTTGCCTTTTTTGCTTAATATATCTAGACTTATTTCGACAATAAACAATAGTAGATTGGCAAAATATGTGGTAGCTCGACCTTGAGCTGCTACTGAAATTAATGCGTTCAAATGAAGAAGGTAAAGACTGTAATTTAGCGGAATTAAGACGTTGAAGATTGTATTTGAGACAAAAGGATTGACTAAACCATCGTAACCGTTGACACATAGTGTAATTATAATGGACAATGCTATCGCCCAGCCCACTCGTGTCAAATCATCGAAGAATGACCCAGAACAGCATCCAATGTCACCAAAGAAAATAACCACAATGTAGTTACTTTCGTTAGTTGTTCTAGTTTTCTAAACCAAGTACCCACACACCATCCCGATTAAGTACACAGTGCCTCTAAGATGAGTCGGACTATACAAATAATAATACTGGGTAGCGTCTTGACTGAAAGACAAACCTTTAAAACTAATAAATAACTAAAAAATTAAAAAGTACTTCAGAAAAGTGGTACCGAGGTGTTTCACCTACGTAATTCCGAAAAGGTAGCCACAGTTGACAACTACTTACGTCATGATGGCACCAATAGTTTGTTTGGGCCACTTTACGAGAGTACATTTGGGTGTCCACAGCTAAGTACCAAGCTTGTCCTACATACTAAAACAGACACGTGAAGTAGTCGGTACCACAGTTTCAAACGTTTACTTGATTATCTGGATTGATAAAAATTTGTAAATAGATCAGAGTGGTTTTAAAGCGATATTATAATAATTTTTAAAATGCAACCCTTTTGGATGGATGGAAACATTTGGGTAATTTAGAGCGTAGATTTTATAATTGTTAAGTTTAATTGTTGTTGTTATCTTACAATTTTGATTTTTTTCCAAAATTTAGGCGTCGAAGGTAAATAGTATCACCAGATTAATAAAAATTTTCTAAAAAAAATTAAGATGATGTCATCAAATTATTAGTGGGGCAAATTTCGATTAGGTTTTATCACCTATCTATATGATAGTCAAAAAACTTTAAATTTCAATCTTAGACCTCATTAATCATGCCATAACTTTGTGAAATAGACAATTTATCATTATAATAAAATTGCTTTAGTTTAAGTATCTAATAATTTTTGCTAACTTAGCCTTCGCTTTCTGATAAGATATCAGATAAAAATGTTTTCCATTACATAGGTCAACACTCATTTGCTAGCAAACCCACAATGATGTTTAAAATTATTTCTTTCTCAATGTTAACACTGATTGTTTCCATAGTTCTCATAAATTATTTTGGTAAATTTAAAATAAAACATCCTTTCGCAAGTTTAAATGTCGTAAGTATAAAAAATTACTTATAAAAAATTTTAACAACAAATACACAGCAAGAAATTATTCAAGAATATGGTTACCCAGTTGAAGTGCACAACGTGGTTACTGAAGATGGCTACGTACTAACACTCCACAGAATTCCCCATGGAAGAGAGAACCTCTCCAGAAAAAGAAAACCGATTTTACTTTTACCCGGTATACTACAAAGTGCTTGGGATTTTGTACATCGTGGACCCAACGATTCCATTGCTTTCATTCTAGCAGAGAAAGGGTACGATGTTTGGCTTGGAAACGTCAGAGGTACCACCTGGTCCAGAAAACATACAAATCTAGATCCAGACAAAGATAAAGCTTTTTGGGACTTCACGTATGTATAGCTCAAAAATATCTACTATTAATAAATTTACATTTCTAGGATTCATGAAATTGGAGTTTACGATCTACCCGCTTTCATAGATTATGTACTAGAAAAAACAGAGCAAAAATCTATCCATTATCTTGGATATTCACAGGGAACAATTGCGTTTTTTATGATGGGGTCCGAAAAAACTGACTACCTTAGTAAAATTAAGTTGATGGCAGCCCTCAGTCCCGCCTTTTTCATGAAAGATACAAAAAGCCCGGTCCTGCAATTCGTAACCAAAAATTGGAGACTGTTGCAGGTGAATTGTTTGCAACAATTTTAACGTTATTAACTGCAACGATTTTTCCAGGGACTGCTTAATTTTTTTAATTACCAAGAGGTATTTGGAAGAGGCGATTTATTTACTACTTACGCACAATTAATCTGTCATGACGAAAATTCTATTTTGATAAATCTATGTATAAATCATATGTTTAGTGTTTTTGGATACAACTACAATGAACTGAATAAGGTACCACCAAGAAGCGCATAAATTGGTCAATCTTCACTCGTCTGTTCTAGAGTATGGTGCCACTAACCATTGCAAACACTCCGTCTGGCGCATCATTAAAACAAATGATACATGCTTTTCAACTGATGGAGTCTGGTGATTTTCATCGGTACGACTTTGGTACTGAAGGCAATCTAGAAAAGTACGGTCAAGAACAACCACCACAGTACAATGTATCCAGAGTTACGACACCTGTCGCTATATATTATTCTAGTAATGACTGGGCTGTCAACATAGATGTAACGTTACGTGGTTTTAAAATCATTCACTCTATGATTTATCAGTGAGTTTCAGAACATAGACAGAGTACTGAAGAGCGTTCCCAACGTGGTGAAAAGCTACAAGGTACCATTAGAAGACTTCAATCATCTTGATTTTTTGTATGCCAAGAATGTTGGTGATCTTTTGTTTAATGTCCTTGTAGATGATTTGTCGAAATACTAAAAATAAATGAACAAAATAGAAATTTGGAAAATCTAAAGCAATGACTAAGTCATTTATAAAGCAAAATATTAAAATTAGGCCACAATGTGAACCCTGTGGTACCCCCGATATATCTTTAAACGGATCGGGAGCTGCCTTCAAGCATTTGTCCCAAGCATATGAAAGAACAATAATCATTTACAAGAGAATAATTCCCTTCACAAAATTTTCCATCTAATACGTGGTAAATTAACATCCCTTGCATCATTTTCGCTTTAATATACAATTTTGAGAGGACGATTATGGTTAGCCCTAGAAATTCCCAGACTAAAGATGTTTTTTGGTTTAGGGAAGATCCCTAAAGGAGCTAGTATCATCATCAATGGAGCTGCTAAACAATGTGGCTTTTTGAAATTCTAGAAATTGTAAAATAGAAATTCTGAAGAACTGGACAATAAAAAAAAAACAGAAATTGAAAAATCTAAAATTTAAAACATTGAACAATTGAAATATCGCAAAATTGAAAAATGGAAAAATCCAAACATCAAAGAATCAAAAAAGAAAAATTCGAAAATCTAAAACTTAAAAACCGAAAAACTGAAAAATCGAAACATCGAAAAATTGGAAAATCGACAAACCGAGAAATCCAAAAATCGAAACATCGAGAAATAGAAAAAAATTGAGAAATTGGTAAAATTGACAAAATAAACAATCAAAACATCCAAACGTCTGAATTCGATAAATCGAGAAATAAAAAAATTGAACAATTTTAAACAAGAAAAATTAAAACATCGAAAAGTTAAAAAAAAATGAGAAATCGACGTATAAAACTTTAACGAAAAATTGAAAATCCAAAAAGTAAAAAAGGGGTGGAAACCCTAAAACTGCAAACTAAAAAATTTAAAAATTGGAGAATCGATGGATTGGAATGGATTAGCCTGAAAATTTGTAAAATTAAATTAACGAAAAATTGGAAAATCGAAAGAAACAAAAAAATTAAGGAAATCAAAAAAACAAAAATTGTGATATAAAATCGAGAAAATGAAAAATAAAAAATCAGAAAAATGCAAAATAAAAATCGGGGAGTTGAAAAATTGAGGGGACGAAAAATTGAAAACGGGAAAAATTAAAAATCGAGAATGTGAAAAATGGAAAAATGAGAAATTGTAATATTGAAAAATTAGAAAATTTGGAAGTCGAAAAATTGTAAAATCGAAAAAAGTGTATAATAAAAACTTGAAAAATGTAAAAATTGAAAATCAAACTTGAGAATTTGAAAATTTGAATAAACGAAAAATTTTAAAATCGAAAGAAACAACAAAAAATAAAAAAAATGAAAAAACGAAAAATTGTGATATAAAATCAAAAAAGTGAAAAATAAAAATCGGGAAAATGAAAAATAAAAATAGGAAACAAAAAATTGGAAAAGCGAAAAATTAAAATTGAGAAACTGAAAAATGAAAAATGTAAAACTGTAATATTGGAAAATTGCCAAATGCAAACCGAAAAATTGTGAAATTGAAAAATCAAAAATAAAAACGAAAAATTACAAAATGAAAACTTGAAAAATCTTACGAACCGAAAAAGTGAAAAATCAAAAAAACAGAAATGTATTATGAAATAGAAATATTGAAAATTAAAGAAATTGGAAAATAGGAAGACTGGAAATCCAAAACTGCAAAGTGAAAAATTTAAAAATTGAAAAATGGAAGAACTGAAAATTTGAAAAATACAACGAAAATTTGCAAAAATCGAAAAAAAAAAACACAAAATAAAGGAAATGAAAAAACGGACAATTCTGATATAAAATCGAGCAAATAAAAATTAAAAATTCGTCACATTGAAAAATAAAAATCGAGAACATGAGAAATTGTGGAAACGAAAAATTGAGAAGTAAAAAATTCGAAAAACTGAAGAAACTAAAATTGAAAAATCGAAAGAAACAACAAGAAATAAAGGAATTGAAAAAATGAAAATTTGTGACATAAAATCGAGAAAATGAAAGTTAAAAAAATCGGGAAAATGAAAAATAAAATCGGGGAGTTGAAAAATTGAGGGGACGTAAAATTGAAAAAGGGAAAAATTAAAAATCGAGAATGTAAAAAATGGAAAAAAGAGAAATTGTAATATTGAAAAATTGGAAAATTTGGAAGTTGACAAATTGTAGAATTGAAAAACAAAAATAAAAAAATGAAAAAGTGTAATAAAAACTTGAAAAATGTAAAAAGTGAAAATCAAACTTGAAAATTGAAGAAAAATTGAAAAAAATCTGAAAATTTGAAAAATTGAATAAACGAAAAATTGTAAAATCGAAAGAAACACAAAAAATAAAGGAAATGAAAAAACGAAAAATTGTGATATAAAATCGAAAAAGTGAAAAATAAAAAATCGGGAAAATGAAAAATTAAAATCGGAAACAAAAAATTGGAAAAGGGAAAAATTAAAATTGAGAAACTGAAAAATCAAAAATGAAAAACTGTAATATTGAAAATTTGCCAAATTGAAAAACTGATGCAAACCGAAAAATTGAAGGAACGACAAAGTGAAAATTTTGAAAGTCGATAAATTGTGAAATTGAAAAACAAAAATAAAAAACGAAAAATTACAAAATGAAAACTTGAAAAATCTTAAGAATCGAAAAAGTGAAAATTCAAATAAAGAAATGTATTATGAAATAGAAATATTTAAAATTAAAGAAATTGGAATATCGGAAGACTGGAAATCCAAAATTGAAAAGTGAAAGATTTAAAAATTGAAAAATGGAGGAATGAAAATTCAAAGCTTAAAAATTTGAAAAATAGAACAAATGAAAATTTGTAAAAATCGTAAAAAACAAAAAATAAAGGAAATGAAAAAACGGAGAATTGTGATATAAAATCGAGAAAATAAAAATTAAAAATTCGCCATATTGAAAAATAAAAATCGAGAACATGAAAAATTGTGGAAACGAAAAATTGAAAAATCGAAAGAAACGACAAGAAATAAAGGAACTGAAAAACTGAAAACTTGTGACATAAAATCGAAAATTTGCAAAATTAAAAAATTTGCAACTCGAAAAATTGAAAAATTTAGAAGTAAAGAAACTGTAAAATTGAAAAATCAAAAAAAAACGAAAAAGTATATAATGAAAACTTCAAAAATGTCAAAAGTGAAAATCAAACATGAAAATTTGAAGAAACAAAAAATTTGAAAAATCGAAAGATTTAAAATTGAAAAACTTAAAATTCGAAAAAGTGAAAAATATAAAAAAGAAATATTGAAAATTAAAGAAACTGAAAAATTGGAAGACTGGAAATCCACAAATTGCAATTTGAAAAATTTTAAACATGGAAAAATCAATGCCAGAAAATTTGAAAAATTGAATAAATAAAAAATTGTAAATTGAAAGAAACAACAAAAAATAAAGGAAAAAATTGTGATATAAAATCGGGAAACGTCTAGAAAACATAAAATTAGTCTACTAATTACTTAAGTAAAAAAATGTACCATAGCATATTAAATAATGATAAAAGCAGGGTTTGAAGTGTCCGAACGTACCCCACTCTCCCCTACGTTACTCATGACTTTGAAATAGATCATTTATTTTAAGTTTAACTGCAATTATTTAATAAGTGTAATAATCGTTTTATAATTTGTGCGGACTTAGTCTTCACCAATTAAATAGTGAATATTTTTAATAAACAAGTTATTAATGAACACTCTCTTGTGTGTCTCTTTGATAATATAGTAGATAACGTTGTTGCCGATTTCATAGGTAAACACTTATTTACTAGTGAATTGAATCATCAACAAGACACTTACAATGGTGTCTAAAATTATTTCTTTCTCAATATTAACCCTAGTTGTTTCCATAGTTCTCATAAATTATTTTAGTAGAGTTAAAGCAATCCATCCTCTCGCACATCTAAATGTGGTAAGTGTATCAAATCACACGTGAAATTTTCTGATAACAAATACACAGCAAGAAATTATTCAAGAATATGGTTACCCAGTTGAAGTCCACAACGTGGTTACTGAAGATGGCTACATACTAACACTCCACAGAATTCCCCATGGAAGAGACAACCTCTCCAGAGAACGAAAACCGATTTTACTTTTACCCGGTATTCTACAAAGTGCTTGGGATTTTGTACATCGTGGACCCAGTTATTCCATAGCTTTTATTCTATCAGAGAAAGGGTACGACGTTTGGCTGGGTAACGTCAGAGGTACCACTTGGTCTAGAAATCATACAACTCTAGATCCAAACAAAGATCCAGTTTTTTGGGATTACACGTACGTATAGTCTAGAAATATCTACCAACAATTAAATTACATTTCCAGGATTCATGAAATTGGAGTTTACGATCTACCCGCTTTCATAGATTATGTACTAAAAAAAACACAGCAAAAGTCTATCCATTATCTTGGATTTTCACAAGGAACAATTGCGTTTTTTATGATGGGGTCCGAAAAATCTGACTACCTTAGTAAAATTAAGTTTATGGCTGCCTTCAGTCCAGCTTTTTACCTGAAAGATCCAATAAGCCCCATCCTGAAATTCCTTGCCAAAAATTGGAGATCTGTACAGGTGAATATTCCAACATATTTAATATTAAAAAAAATGTAAACTTTCCAGGAGCTGCTTAATTTTTTTAATTACCGAGAACTATTTGGAAGAGGCGATTTATTTTCAAGTGTCGTAAAATTCATCTGTCATGACGAAAATTCTATCTTGATCAATCTTTGTATACACACTCATTTCAGTATTTTCGGATACAGCTACGATGAATTGAATAAGGTACCACCAAGAACCGCCTAAATCGATGAAGCTTCACTCTTTTGTTCCACAGAGTAGGCTACCTCTAACCGCTGCAAATACTCCATGTGGTATATCATTGAAGCAATTCATACATGGTCTTCAAATGTGGGACTCTGGTGACTTCCGTCGGTACGATTTTGGTACTGAAGGTAATCTAGAAAAGTACGGTCAAGAACGAGCACCACACTACAATGTATCGAGAGTTACAACACCTGTCGCAATATATTATTCTAGCAATGACTGGGCTGTCAACATAAAAGTAATGCGACGTAGTTTAAAAATCAATCCTTGTATGTTTTATTAATATCTTTCAGAACATGGATAGAGTATTGAAGACTGTTCCCAATGTGGTGAGAAACTACAAGGTACCTTTAGACGACTTCAATCATCTCGATTTTTTGTATGCTGAGCACGTTGTTGATCTTCTGTATAAGGTCGTTATAGATGATTTGTCGAAGTACTAACTCATAACGGCTAAAAATAAATGTGACGCTTTTTGAGTTTGATTGATATATTTCAAAATTACAATATGGAATACATAGGTACTTAAAACGTTACTCATAACTCTGAAATAGATCACTTATTTTAAATTTAACTGTAATTAGCTAATTGGTGTCATAATTGTTTCATAATTTGTGCGGACTTTGTCTTCGCATTTTAAATAGTGAATATTTTTAATAAACAAGTTATTAAGGAACACTCTCTAATGGGTCTGTTCGATAAGATAGTAGATAACACTGCTGTCGATTATATAGGTCAACACTTATTTACTAGCGAATTGATTCATCGACAAGACACTTAGAATGGTGTCTAAAATTATTTCCTTCTCAATTTTAACACTAATTGTTTCTATAGTACTTATAAATTATTTTAGTAGAGTTAAACCAAACCATCCTCTCGCAGATCTTAATGTCGTAAGTGTATAAAATCACACGTGAAATATTCTAATAACAAATACACAGCAAGAAATTATTCAAGAATATAATTATCCAGTAGAAGTGCACAACGTGGTTACTGAAGATGGCTACATACTAACACTCCACAGAATTCCCCATGGAAGAGGAAATCACTCCAGAAAAAGAAAACCAATTTTACTTTTACACGGTCTTCTACAAAGTGCTTGGGATTTTGTACACCTTGGACCCAACCAATCCTTGGCTTTCGTTTTATCCGAGGAAGGATACGATGTTTGGCTAGGAAGCGTCAGAGGTACCACTTGGTCTAGAAATCATACAACTCTAGATCCAGACAAAGATGCAGCTTTTTGGGACTACACGTACGTACAGTCTAGAAATATATACTAACAATTAAATTACATTTCCAGGATTCATGAAATTGGGGTTTACGATCTACCCGCTTTCATAGATTATGTACTAGAAAAAACTGAGCAAAAGTCTATCCATTATCTTGGATATTCACAAGGAACAATTGCGTTTTTTATAATGGGTTCCGAAAAAACTGATTACCTTAGTAAAATTAAGTTTATGGCAGCCTTCAGTCCCGCTTTTTTCCTGAGAGATCCAATAAGCCCGATCGTGAAATTCCTTGCCAATAATTGGAGATCTTTACAGGTGAATATTCTACCATATTTAAAATTAAAATAATGTAAACGTTTTTCCAGGGGCTGCTAAATTTTTTTAACTACCGTGAACTATTTGGAAGAGGCGATCTATTTTCAAGTTACATGAAATTTGTCTGCCATGATGAAAATTCTGTTTTGATCAATCTTTGTATACACACTCATTTCAGTATTTTTGGATACAGCTACGACGAACTGAATAAGGTACCACCAAGAACCGCCTAAACTGATGAAGATTTACTCTTTTGTTTCCAGAGTATGTTACCTCTAACTGCTGCAAACACTCCATGTGGTGTATCATTGAAGCAATTTGTACATGTGTTTCAAATTGCGGATTCTGGAGACTTTCATCGGTACGATTTTGGTAATCAAGGTAATCTAGAGAAGTACGGTCAAGAGCAACCACCACACTATGATGTATCCAGAGTTACAACACCTGTGGCAATATATTACTCTAGCAACGACTGGGCTGTCAATATAAATGTAACGTTACGTAATTTTAAAATCATTCCCTGTATATTTTACCAGTAAGTTTCAGAACATGGACAGAGTATTGAAAACGGTTCCCAATGTGGTGAAAAGTTACAAGGTGCCTTTAGAAGACTTCAATCACCTCGATTTTTTGTATGCCAAGCATGTTGGTGATCTTTTATTTAATGTTCTTTTAGATGATTTGTCGAAGTACTAACTCATGTTTTTGCAATGTAAAGCTAAAAATAAAATCAGAAAAGTTCTAGACAGAGTTTATCTATTATATGAATTCAGTCTGTCAATAGAGTAAAAAAGACGTTATTAATTGAAAGCAGTACTAATATTTACTGACAATATTGTGGTTATTGATGTTTATTGACATTTATTAAATTGAATGTGCTCACCTAGATATTCGTATGCTTGATATATTTTGATATTGTTTAATCTGTCTTGCCCCCGAGACACAAAAATACGATCTACCATTATCACAGTAGAGATAAGATGTCAACTTCGCAGACGGAAGGTTCACTGATTAAAACCAGGACCGGGTCCCCGCTTTTTTAATCGATCGAATTAGGAAATTAAAAAATTGAGAAACAGAAAAGTCAAAAAAGCAGTGTCCAAAAATCGCAAACTTATTAAATCAAAAAACTGAAAAATCAAAAATCTGAATAATCAAAAAATTGAAGAACTGAAGAACTGAAAAATCGAAACTTTGGGAAGTGGAGAAATGGGAATATAAAAAAATAGATTAATTGAGAAATCCGAAAACTAAAAATTCAGAAACGTCAAAATTTGAAAAATAAAAATATATCGAAGACCTGAAAAATCGAAAAATCTAAAATTTAAAACATCGAAAAGTTAAAATATCCTAAAACTGAAACATGGAGAAATCCAAACATCAATAAATCAAAAAAATAAATTCGAAAATCTAAAATTTAAAACCGAAAAACTGAAAAATCAATGAATCGTGTTTTATATTGGTTTTAGAATATTAATAAAACCAGCTTCTACAATTATTTGTTTATTCTAATCTCTTACGTATCTAACAACATTCTCTAAGCAATATAAAACAAATCGAGAAGTCAAAAATCTAAAAAATTGGAAAGTTGCAAAATTGAGAAATTGAAATATAAAACAATCGAAAAATTGAAAAATCTAAAGTAAGTGTAAAAAACGAAAAACTGAAAACCCAAAAATTAAAAATCGAAAAACCAATAAAGCGAAGTCGAAGAATCGAAGAATTGAAGAACTGAAAAATCGACACTTTGAGAAATGGGAAAATCAAAAATAGATTAATTGAGAAATCAGAAAACTGAAAATTTAACGTCAAAATTTGAAAAATTGAAAAATTTAAATACTGAAGAACTGAAAAGTCAAAAAATCGAGAAATCGAAAAATCTAAAATTTAAAACATTTAACAATTAAAATGTCGCAACATTGAAGAATCGAGAAATCCAATTCAATTTAAAAAATTGAAAAATTGAAAAATCGGGACATTGAAAAATTGGAAAATCCAGAAATTGAAAAGCTCACAAGAAAAAATCGAAAAACCGAGAAATCCAAAAATCGAAACATTGAAAAATTCAAAAACTGAGACATCGAGAAATCGAAAAATCGAAAGACCAAAAAATCGAGGAGTCGAAAAATCGAGAAGTCGAAAAATCGAAAAATTGAGAAATCGAAATAGACCAAAATCGAACAACCGAAAACTTAAATATGGACAAATTGATAAAGCGAGAGATTGAACAATTAAAACATAGAAACATCCGAATCTCAATAAATCGATATCTCAAAAAATTTAAAAATTCGGAAATTTGAAAAATTAAAATATTGAACTGGAAACTCGAAAAACCGAAAAATCTAGAAATTTAAAAATTAAAATATGGAAAAGTTGAAAAATTGAGAAATTGAAATATAAAACAATCGAAAAATTGAAAAATCTAAAATATAAAAAACGAAAAACTAAAAATCCAAAAATTAAAAATCGAAAATCTAGAAGTCGAAAAATCAAAGATCGAAGTATTGAAAAATATCAAAACTGAAAGAGATATCCAGAAATTGAGAAATCGAAAAACCAATAAAACGAAGTCGAAAAATCGACGAATTGAAGAACTAAAAAATCGAAATTTTGAGAAGAGGGAAAATAAAAAATAGGTTAATTGAGAAATCACAAAATTAAAAATTTAACGTCAAAATTTGAAAAATTGAAAAATTTAAATATTAAAGAACTGAAAAGTCAAAAAACCGAGAAATTGAAAAATCTAAAATTTATAACATTGAACAATGAAAATATCGAGAAATTGAAGAATCGAGAAATCCAATGCAATTTAAAAAATTGAAAAATCGGAACATTGAAAAATTGGAAAATCCTAAAATTGAAAAGCTCAAAAGAAAAAAATCGAAAAACCGAGAAATCCAAAAATCGAAACATTGAAAAATTCAAAAACTGAGACATCAAGAAATCGAAAAATCAAAAGACCAAAAAATCGAGTAATCGAAAAATCGAGAAGTCGAAAAATCGAAAAATTGAGAAATCGAAATAGGCCAAAATCGAAAACTTAAATATGGAAAAATTGATATAGCGAGAGATTGAACAATCAAAACATCGAAACATCCGAATCTCAATAAATCGAGATCTCAAAAAATTTAAAAATTCGGAAATTTGAAAAATTAAAATATAGAAAATTTGAAAAATTGAGAAATTGGAATACAAAACAATCTAAAAATTGAAAAATCTAAAGTATAAAAAACGAAAAACTGAAAATCCAAAAATTAAAAATCGAAAAATCTAGAAGTCGAGAAATCAAAGATCGAAGTATTGAAAAATATCAAAACTGAAAGAGATATCCAGAAATTGAGAAATCGAAAAACCAATAAAACGAAGTCGAAAAATCGAAGAATTGAAGAACTGAAAAATCGAAACTTTGAGAAGTGGGACAATCAAAAATAGATTAATTGAGAAATCAGAAAATTAAAAATTTAACGTCAAAATTTGAAAAATTGAAAAAAAAGCGAAGTCGAAAAATCGAAGAATTGAAGAACTGAAAATTCAACAATTTGAGGAGTGGGAAAACCACAAATAGATTGAGAAATCAGAAAACTGAAAATTTAACGTCAAAATTTGAAAATTTGAAAATTTAAATACTGAAGAACTGAAAAGTCAGAAAATCGAGAAATCAAAAAATCTAAAATTTAAAACATTGAATTAAAATGTCGCAAAATTGAAGAATCGAGAAATCCAATTCAATTTAAAAAATTGAAAAATAGAAAAATCGGGACATTGAAAAATTGAAAAATCCAGGATTTGAAAAGCTCAAAAGAAAAAAATCGAAAAACCGAGAAATCCAAAAATCGAGACATTGAAAAATTCAAAATCTAAGAAATTGAACAATTAAAACAACGAAACATCTAAATTCGATAAATGGAGAAATTAAAAAATTGAATAATAGAAAAATTTTAAAAAAGAAAAACTGAAAAATCGACGATTAAAACTTAAAAAATTGAAACATTGAAAAATTGAGATATATAGAAGAATTAAATACTCGAGATAACCTAATTTTAAAAAATGAAATATTAAAATATCGAAAAGTTAGAAGATTGAGAAATCGAAGTATAAAACAGTCGAAGAATTGAAAAATCTGAAGTTTAACAATAAATTGAAAATCCAAAAAGTAAAAAATGGAGAAATAAAAAAAAATCCATCAATTCAAAAATCGAAAAGTCGAAAAATTGAAATATTGAAAAATATCACAACTGAAGGAAATATTAAAAAAATTGAGAAATTAAAAAATTGGAAAATTGAGAAATTGAAAATCTAAAAAAGCAAAATCGAAAAAACGCAAGCCTAAAAAATCGATAAATTGAAGAATTGAAGAAATGGAAAAATGAAAAAAAATACTTTCGAAATCGGAAAACTGAAAATTTAGAAACGTGAAAATTTGAAAAATTGAAAAATCGAAATATTTAAAAATCGTAAAATTGAAGAGGACAAAAATTGAGAAATCGTATCATTGAAACATCGAAAAATTGAGAAATCGAAAAATAAAAATATCGAGAAATCGAAAAGCCGAAAAATCTCAATAGCGTATTTATAAATCACAAGATCAGGACTATGCTACTTTTTAAAATTTAAGTAATATTATAAATTGGAAAATGTTGATTTAATATAATATAAAATTATCATAATCACTATTGATATTAATTAACACAAAATGGCGCGTAAGTTATCAGTTGATTTCTCTTAATAAATTCATAGAAAGCTATACATATATATATATACTTAAACAATCTATTAGTATGAGTATGGATGTCCTTATTAAAACGTTGATAACATTATTACAAAATTTGTTATGAAAAACTCACTTGAAACATTAGCATAACATACTTCTTCACCTACTATTTGACCTTCCACACATATATAGGGGTGACGAAACATGTTCTAACCAACCGGAACCTTTAATTCGTGCACGCATTGATCGCGTGCTTCCACTACTGGACTTGGTACAACAGTGGAACTTTCCTTAATTAAATTAAGTTATAGCACGTGATTTAAAAAAAATGTAATAACATATTTTAACGCTGGGGTGTGTTTCTCTAAGTTTTCACACCTGATACTGTTCCGACCGATAAACTATCAAATTTTTGAGAAGAAACAATGTATAATGTCAACCTGAAGATTATGTTTTTGTTTTGTTTTGACGTATTCACCTATCTAATCGAATATAACTATTTCAGACTTTGCACACCATAATCAGTAAACAACAATTCTTCGCGTTGTACAAAGTATGAAAACGGGATGACACAGTAAAAAAGTATCAACTCTAAAAAACACCAAAATACTGATTATAACCTGTCCGTAGGTTTTATAAATCGAAAATGATTTCCTCTAGCTCAGTCAACATTCCGCAATGGTTCACAAAATTGCTTCCGTAACGCTGCTAACGGCACTTTTTTCTGTTCTAATTTTACAAATTTTTAACAAATCTAAACTAAAACACCCTTACGCAGATCTCACCATTGTAAGTAGAACCGCCTAAAGGTTTCATTGTTTTGACGAGCTTAACTGACAGCAAGAACTGGTTGAAAAATACGAATATCCAGTCGAAGTCCATAACGTAACTACGGAAGATGGCTACATTCTAACGCTCCATAGAATCCCTCACGGAAAAGAAAATCTTTCCCAAAATAGAACACCGGTTTTGTTTTTACCCGGGGTCTTGCAAGGTGCCTGGGATTTTGTACAGAATGGACCCAATCAATCTTTGTCATTTATTTTAAGCGAAAAAGGATACGACGTTTGGTTGGGAAACGTCAGAGGTACTACCTTGTCCAGAAAACACGAAACTTTGGATCCTGATAAGGATCTAGCTTTTTGGGATTTTACGTTAGTAAAGTCAAACAAATGCTTCCTTGTGAAAGAAAATCGTCTTTTAGGATTGAAGAAATCGGGGTTTATGATCTTCCAGCTTTGATTGACTACGTTTTGGAAACCACCGGAGAGAGTTCGCTCCACTACGTTGGGTTTTCTCAAGGTACAACAGTATTTTTTCTAATGGGGTCTGAAAGAAGTGAATACCTTAGCAAAGTTAAGTTAATGTCAGCCTTGGGACCTGCTGTTTTTATGGAAAACCCCAAAAGTCCTATCGTCCAGTTCATAGCAGATAATTGGAAGCTCGGAGAGGTAGGATTCCAACACTATCTAAACATTCGATTTAAGTACATTTTAGGTACTGTTTGGTTTTTTTAATTATCAAGAATTATTTGGTATTAACGATCCTATGACTATGTACGTGAAATATATCTGCAATGACGAAAACTCTATTTTCATAAATTTATGTATGCATCACTTCTCTATGGCTTTAGGCGACAATTACGACGCTGCAGACAAGGTAAAACTAAAAGTTTCCAAAACATTTATTTTTGTAAGAAATTTTAGAGTACGCTGTCTTTGATGACTTCGAAAAGTCCCTGTGGAGCATCACTCAGGCAAATTATTCACATTTACCAAATGATTGATTCTGGCAATTTTTGTAAATACGATTTCGGAACTCGACGCAATTTGGAAATCTATGGTCAAGAAACACCACCGCTTTATAATTTGTCGAAAGTTACCGTTCCTGTGGCACTATATTACTCCACCAATGATTGGGTCATCGATATAACGGTGATTTAATGGACCTTATGTTAATGAAAAGTAAAAATATAAGTATTGTTGGTTTTAGAATATGGACCGGCTTGAAAAAACACTTCCCAATGTGGTGAAAAGGTATAAAGTGCCTTTGGAAAAATTTAACCACGGTGATTTTTTGTTTGCCAAAGATGTGGTTGGACTTTTGTATAACACTGTGATAGATGAAATTTCAAAATACTGAGGAAAAAATTCAAAACTTATCAATGAAAACTTCCTTCGTCGATCAACTATTTTATGCCTATTTATTTACATGATGAGTTTAAATCTTTAGATAATTCCATCATTCATCATAAATTAAATAAATGTGATTTTTACCTCAATGGTAAACAACTGTAAGAAATTGTACTTTAATATTACTAAAAAATAAACATATAATATGAAGTAAGATTTTTTAAGTACTTGTAATTGAGGTAAGTATATGCTTTACCTTCCTATTAAATCATTACATAAATAAATACATAAATGGTTCATTTCCAAACAGGTTTCAAACCCAATTATAAAAGCAACAGGAATATACAGTGTGTTCATTTTATCTGTTCACGTCTGACAATGTTTGCATAGGCAACATATTATACACCCCAGAGACGACTCCGTCCAATTTAAGTTTCTGTTTAAAAAGTTTTAGGGGTATGTTTGCAATGGGGTGCAGTGTATCCATGAAAAACCCGACATTACACATAAATAGTTAGGTTATGTTGGTGACAGTTTCCCATTAAAGAGTGTTCAAATGGAAAATTTAACAATTTTTTTGTGGACAAAGAACGCATTTGCACAACATTTGAAGGTGAGGAACGTGATCAGGGGGTGCTATAGAAGAATTGTGTGCAAACAGTTTGTGCGAAATCGAGAAGTGCCTTTTGTAAAGTTTCACCGCAAAAACTACTCGTTTTCATTTTAAAACAGTGGTACTGTTCTTTAATTGTGATAAGACTTGCTCTGATTACGTGATTTTTCACAATTTTCACCTTCAGAGTACCTATAAAAATGTAAATTTTTTAATTAATTACCGTGTTCATTGGTTTAACCTCACTTTTTGGATTTCATTATTGGAACACTTGTTGTTTCTTTGCAAGACAGACCAGACGATTTATTCTGTTCAACTCCAATCGACTTTCCAAGGTGTAATTCATGACAAAGCCCTTAAACGCTGACATTTCAATTTTTGAGACATTTGACAAATTTGTTTGGACGTTTGTGACATTTCAAAAGAGTTGAAATCATTTTGGTGATTATTATTATTACGAAAAAGGTGGAAAAAAATCGCAAAAAAGGCAACCAACAAAAACACACACAAAGAGTGACAATAAAAAATCAAAAAAATATAGTTATACAAAAAGGAATCTTAAAGGTGTGAAAAAGAAGTCAAACAAATCTAAAAAAGGGCGTAAAAACGCGATGAAAGACCATATAGATAAAAGAAATGAGAAGGTGAAAAAAAAGATTAAAAAATGTAAAAAAAACCTCACAAAAAAAGGTTCAAAAAACGCGACATAAAAAGAAATAGAAATATAAAAACTGGAAAAGAAGAGGCGGTTTAAAAGAGGATTAAAAAGTGACAAAAGAAACAGAAATCTTCAAAAACGATTAAAAATGCCATAAAAAACAAGAAAATATGATTAAAAAAAATTAAATAAAAAATGGAAAAGAAAAGGCGGCTAAAATGGGGATTAAAGTAACAAAAAATCTCAAATCTCAAAAGAAAACGATAAAGAGGCCGCAAAAAGAATGACAAGAAAACGTGAAAAAAATACATTGATTGGAAAGTGGGACAAAAAAGGTACCAAAAAGACCAAAAAAACGCTGTAATAATATGTAGAATATGGAAGGGGACAAAAAGCCGCCAAAAAACGACCGAAAAAGGCTCTAAAAGAAGTTCTCAAAGAAGCTCCCATGAAAATACCACAAAGTGAAAAAATAACTGGACAAAAAATAACAAACAAGCCAAAAAAGGGAGACATAAAAGGCCATTAAAAAGGCACTAAAAGGTTATAAAAAACGTGGTAAACAAATCGGAAAAAGAGTCGACAAAAAAAGGCCATCAATAAAAATCCACAAAAGAGGGACAATAGAACTCAAAAAAATAGATATACAAAAAGCAACCACACGCGTTCAAAAAAGAAGTCAAAAAAATCTGAAAAGAGCCGTTCAAACGCGATAAAAGGCTAGATAGATTAACGAAAGGGGAAGGTGCCAAAAAAATAACCAAAACATCGAAAAAAATCACATAAAAAGTTCCAAATATGTCACATAAAAAGGAATAAAAATTGGAAAAGAAGAGGCGGTTTAAAAGAGGATTAAAATGTGACAAAAAAAAACGATTAAAAATGCCATAAAGACAACAAGAAAATGATTAAAAAATATTAAATGAAAAATTGGACAAAAAAGGTACCAAAAAAGGCCAAAAAAACTCTATATCAAGCTTCTTGAAAAACCTAAAAAGGTGACAAAAACTAAATAAAAGACGACAAAAAAGGAGCAAAAAAAACATCGATTAAACAAGAGAACTAAAAAGTGACAAAAAAGGCGATAAAAAATTGAAAGTTGAAAAAAGGCTACAAAAAGGCCACAATAAAAACAAAAAAATACGTGGAAAAAATATGAAGGAAGCGCCTAAAAAACAACCAAAAAAGGTTCCCAAAGCTCTCATGAAAACGCCATAAAGTGAACAAATAACACATATTAAAAACAACAAAAAAGCGAAAAAATGGAGACATAAAAGGCGATAAAAAAAGGGGACTAAAAAATTACTAAAAAAGGTAGTAAAGAAAATAGGAAGAGAGTGTCAAAAATTGACCAAAAAAACTAAAAAAAGGCTGCCAAGAAAGGTTCCAAAAAACTGGAAAAGAAAAGGCGGCTAAAATGGGGATTAAAGTGACAAAAAATCTCAAATCTCAAAAGAAAACGATAAAGAGGCCGCAAAAAGAACGCCAAAAAAACGTGAAAAAAATACATTGATTGGAAAATGGGACAAAAAAAGTACCAAAAAGACCAAAAAAAAAACACTATAACAAGCAAAAAAGGGAAAAAAAGCGATTAAACAAGGGAACCAAAATGCTGCAAAATCGGCTACCAAAAAAACAACAAAAAACGCTGTAAAAATATGTAGAATATAGAAGGGGACAAAAAAAACGCCAAAAAACGACCGAAAAAGGCTCTAAAAGAAGTTCTCAAAGAAGCTCCCATGAAAATACCACAAAGTGAAAAAATAACTGGACAAAATATAACAAACAAGCCAAAAAAGGGAGACTTAAAAGGCCATTAAAAAGGCACTAAAAGGTTATAAAAAACGTAGTAAACAAATCGGAAAAAGAGTCGACAAAAAAAGGCCATCAATAAAAATCCACAAAAAAGGGACAATAGAACTCAAAAAAATAGATATACAAAAAGGAACCATACGCGTTCAAAAAAGAAGTCAAAAAAATCTGAAAAGAGCTGTTCAAACGCGATAAAAGGCTAGATAGATTAAGGAAAGGGGAAGGTGCCAAAAAAATAACCAAAACATCGAAAAAAAATCACATAAAAAGTTCCAAATATGTCACATAAAAAGGAATAAAAATTGGAAAAGAAGAGGCGGTTTAAAAGAGGATAAAAATGTGACAAAAAAAAAAACGATTAAAAATGCCATAAAGAGAACAAGAAAATGATTAAAAAATATTAAATGAAAAATTGGACAAAAAAGGTACCAAAAAAGGCCAAAAAAAACTCTATATCAAGCTTCTTGAAAAACCTAAAAAGGTGACAAAAACTAAATAAAAGACGACAAAAAAGGAGCAAAAAAAACAGCGATTAAACAAGAGAACTAAAAAGTGACAAAAAAGGCGATAAAAAATTGAAAGTTGAAAAAAGGCTACAAAAAGGCCACAATAAAAACAAAAAAATACGTGGAAAAAATATGAAGGAAGCGCCCAAAAAACAACCAAAAAAGGTTCCCAAAGCTCTCATGAAAACGCCATAAAGTGAACAAATAACACATATTAAAAACAACAAAAAAGCGAAAAAATGGAGACATAAAAGGCGATTAAAAAAGGGGACTAAAAAATTACTAAAAAAGGTAGTACAAAAAATAGGAAGAAAGTGTCAAAAATTGATCAAAAAAACTAAAATAAGGCTCTCAAGAGAGGTTCCAAAAACGCGACACGAAAAAGAATAAATAAGTTAAAACATGGAAAAGAAAAAGCGGCTAAAATGGGGATTAAAGTGACAAAAAATCTCAAATCTCAAAAGAAAACGATAAAGAGGCCGCAAAAAGAACGCCGAGAAAACGTGAAAAAAATACATTGATTGAAAAATGGGACAAAAAAAGTACCAAAAAGACCAAAAAAACACTATAACAAGCTAAAAACGGAAAAAAAACGATTAAACAAGGGAACCAAAATGCTGCAAAAACGGCTACCAAAAAAACAACAAAAAACGCTGCAAAAATATGTAGAATATAGCAGGGGACAAAAAAAATGCCAAAAAACCACCGAAAAAGGTTCTAAAAGAAGTTTTCAAAGAAGCTTTTATGAAAATGCCACAAAGTGAACAAATAACTGGATAAAAAAGAACAAAAAAACATAAAAGGGAGACAAAAGAAGATTAAAAAGGTGACTAAAAGATTACAAAAAAGGTGGTAAACAAATCGGAAAAATAGTCAACAAAAAAGGCCATGAATAAAAATCCACAAAAAAGGGACGATAGAACTCAAAAAAATAGATATACAAAAAGGGGCCATACACGTTAAAAAAAGAAGTAAAAAAATCTAAAAAGAGCCGTTAAAACGCGATAAAAGGCTAGATAGATTAATGAAAGGGGAAAGTGCCAAAAAAATAACCCAAAAATCGAAAAAATTCATATAAAAAGTTCCAAATATGCGACATAAAAAGAAATAAAAAAATAAAAATGGAAAAGAAGAGGCGGTTTAAAAGAGGATTAAAAAGTGACAAAAAAAACAAAAATCTCAGAAAAAAACGATTAAAAATGCCATAAAAAGAACAAAAAATATGATTAAAAAATATTAAATGAAAAATGGGACAAAAAAGGTACCATGAAAGACCAAAAAACTCTATATCAAGCTTCTTGAAAAACCTAAAAAAGGGAGCAAAAAAACAGCGATTAAACAAGAGGACTAAAAAGTAACAAAACAGGCAATACAAAATTGAAAATTGAAAAAAGGCTGCAAAAAGGCCACAAAAAAACCAAAAAAAACGTGATAAAATATGCACAATATGAACCAAGCCAAAAAGAAGCGCCCAAAGAACAACCAAAAAAGGCTCCCAAAGCTCTCATGAAGACGCCATAAAGTGAACAAATAACTGGATAAAAAAAACAACAAAAAAGCGAAAAAATGGAGACACAAAAGGCGATTAAAGAAGGGGACTAAAAAATTACAAAAAAAGGTAGTAAAAAAAATAGGTAGAAAATGTAAAAAATTGACCAAAAAACTAAAAAAAAGCTCCCAAGAAAGGTTCCAAAAACGCGACACCAAAAAAAAATAAACAAATTAAAAAATGAAAAAGAAAAGGCGGCTAAAGTGGGGATTAAAGTGACAAAAAATCTCAAATCTCAAAAGAAAACGACAAAAAGGCCGCAAAAAAACGAAAAGAAAACGTGAAAAGAATACATTGATTAGAAAGTGGGTCAAAAAAGGTAGCAAAAAGACCAAAAAAAACGCTGTAAAAATATGTAGAATATAGAAGGGGACAAAAAAACCGCCAAAAAACGACCGAAAAAGGCTCTAAAAGAAGTTCTCAAGGAAGCTCCCATGAAAATACCACAAAGTGAAAAAATAACTGGATAAAAAATAACAAACAAGCCAGAAAAGGGAGACATAAAAGGCCATTAAAAAGGGGACTAAAAGGTTATAAAAAACGTGGTAAACAAATCGGATAAAGAGTCGACAAAAAAAGGCCATGAATAAAAATCCACAAAAAAGGGACAATAGAACTCAAAAAAGTAGATATACAAAAAGGAACCATACGCGTTCAAAAAAGAAGTCAAAAAAATCTAAAAAGAGCCGTTAAAACGCGATAAAAGGCTAGATAGATTAATGAAAGGGGAAGGTGCCAAAAAAATAACCAAAAAATCGAAAAAAATTCACATAAAAAGTTCCAAATATGCGACATAAAAAGGAATAAAATAATAAAAAATGGAAAAGAAGAGGCGGTTTAAAAGAGGATTAAAAGGTGACAAAAAAAACAGAAATCTAAAAAAAAAAACGATTAAATATGCAATAAAAAGAACAATAAGATATAATTAAAAAGTGTTAAATGAAAAATGGGACAAAAAGGGTACCAAAAAATGCCAAAAAAACTCTATATCAAGCTTTTTGAAAAACCTCAAAAGGTGACAAAAACTAAATAAAAGACGACAAAAAAGGAGCAAAAAAAAACAGCGATTAAACAAGAGAACTAAAAAGTGACAAAAAAGGCGATACAAAATTGAAAATTGAAAAAAGGCTACAAAAGGACCACCAAAAAAAAACAAAAAAAAGTGTGATAAAAATATGCAGAATATAAACCAGGCCAAAAAGAAGCGCCCAAAAAAACAATCAAAAAAGGCTCCCAAAGCTATCATGAAAACGCCATAAAGTGAACAATTAGCTGGATAAAAAACAACGAAAAAGCGAAAAAATGGACACATAAAAGGCGATTAAAAAAGGGGACTATAAAATTACAAAAAAAAACGTATTAAAAAAAATAGGAAGAAAGTGTAAAAAAAATTGAACAAAAAAACTAAAAAAAGCTCCCAAGAAAGGTTCCAAAAACGCGACACCAAAATGACAAAAAATCTCAAATCTCAAAAGAAAACGATAAAGATGCCGCAAAAAGAACGACAAGAAAACGTGAAAAAAATACATTGATTGGAAAGTGGGACAAAAAGGTACCAAAAAGACCAAAAAAACGCTCTAAAAATATGTAGAATATAGAAGGGGACATAAAAACCGCCAAAAAACGACCGAAAATGGCTCTAAAAGAAGTTCTCAAAGAAGCTCCCATGAAAATACCACAAAGTGAAGAAATAACTGGATAAAAAGTAACAAACAAGCCAAAAAAGGAGACATAAAAAGCCATTAAAAAGGGGACTAAAAGGTTATAAAAAACGTGGTAAACAAATCGGATAAAGAGTCGACGAAAAGGCCATTAATAAGAATCCACAAAAAAAGGGACAATAGAACTCAAAAAATAGATATACAAAAAGGAGCCATACACGTACAAAAAAGAGGTCAAAAAAATCTAAAAAGAGTCGTTAAAACGCGATAAAAGGCTAGATAGATTAATGAAAGGGGAATGTCAAAAAAAGACCAAAAATGTCACAAATGACGAAAAATGAAATGCAAAGATAATACAAAAAAGGCGATTAAAATGGAATCAAAAAATAAGAAAAAAGTGGATAAAGAAACGACAAAAAAACATAAAAAAATTATTCTTATCTTGCGTTTTTAGAAATTCACGTGGAAATCTTTTTGCAAAAAATAAAATTTTATAAACTTTGAAAACGAGAACCTGAAGCTTAAATTCGTTGTTCACGTGTTAATCACGTGATTTTACTACAATGGTCCAAGTACGAAATTACATAATATAATAACAAATTTTAATATATTCATAAAAAATCACTGACAAGTTACACGTTATCAGTGGATAATTACAATCCTATATAAAGCTGTTCACACTTGACACTCGTTCGGCGATAAACTGATATATTGACACAATAAAATTTTTAATGCATAAAATCTATAAAACACGTGCAACCTGAAAATTTAGGTGAATCAACATATTTTTATTATGACGTGTTCGTTTATCTAATCAAACATAACTCTTTCGGACTTTGTACAGTATAATCAGCAAATAATTATTCTTCGCATCAGCTCTGCACAGTAAAAAAGTCTCTAGTCTACAAAGTATCAAAATACTGATTATAACTTGTCCGTACGTTTTATAAATCGAAACCGATTTCCTCTTGATCAGTCCTTTGCAAAAAACATTCTACAATGGTTCACAAAATTGCTTCCGTAACACTGCTAACGGCACTTTTTTCTGTTACAATTGTACAAATATATAACAAATCTAAACTGAAACACCCGTACGCAGATTTTACCGTTGTAAGTACTCGTAGAACCGCCTTAAGTTTCATTGTTTTGACAAGCTTAACTGACAGCAAGAACTCGTTGAAAAATACGAATATCCAGTTGAAGTTCATAACGTCACTACGGAAGATGGCTACATCCTAACCCTCCACAGAATTCCTCACGGGAAAGAAAATCTTTCCCAAAATAGGACACCAGTTTTGCTTTTACCCGGTGCCCTGCAAAGTTCCTGGGATTTTGTGCAGAATGGACCCAATCAATCTTTACCGTTTATTTTAAGCGAAAAGGGATACGACGTTTGGCTGGGAAATGTGAGAGGTACCACCTTGTCCAGGAAACACGAAACTTTAGATCCTGACAAGGATCTAGCTTTTTGGGATTTTACGTTGGTAAAGTAAAACAAATGCTTCCTTGTGAAAGAAAATCGTCTTCTAGGATTAACGAAATCGGGGTTTATGATCTACCAGCTTTGATTGACTACGTTTTGGAAACCACCAAAGAGAGTTCGCTCCATTACGTTGGATTTTCTCAAGGGACAACAGTATTTTTCTTAATGGGGTCTGAAAGAAGTGAATACCTTAGCAAAGTTAAGTTAATGTCAGCCTTCGGACCTACTGTATATATGGAAAACCCGAAAAGTCCGATCGTCAAGTTCATAGCAGATAATTGGAAGCTCGGAGAGGTAAGATTTCAACAGTGTCTTAACATTCGATTTAAGTACCTTTTAGGCACTGCTTAATTTTTTTAACTATCAAGAATTGTTTAGCATTAATGATCCCATGACTATATACCTGAGGTACGTCTGTAATGACGAAAATTCTATTTTCATAAATTTATGTGTACATCACTTCTCTATGGCTTTAGGCGACAATTACGACACTGCAGATAAGGTAAAACTAAAAGTTTGTCAAAACATTTGTTTTTGTAAGATATTTTAGAGCATGCTATCTTTGCTAACTTCGAAGAGTCCATGTGGAGCATCAATGAAGCAACTCATTCACTTCTACCAAATGATCGATTCTGGAAATTTTTGTAAATATGACTTCGGAACTAGACGCAATTTGGAAATTTATGGCCAAGAAACGCCACCCCTTTATAATTTATCGAAAGTTACCATTCCTGTAGCATTATATTATTCCAGCAATGACTGGGTCATCGATATAACAGTGATAGAATTTTATTATTATATAAAGCAAAAATACATTGTTGAGTTTTAGAATATGGACCGGCTTGAGAAAACACTTCCAAATGTGGTGAAGAGTTACAAAGTGCCTTTGGAAAAGTTCAACCACGGCGACTTTTTGTTTGCTAAAGATGTAGTTGGTCTTTTGTATAATAGTGTCATAGATGAAATTTCAAAATACTAAAATGAAGAAAAAAATCAAAAAGTTGTCAAGCGTTACTGAAAATTTCCCTCCACCTCGATTTAACTAGGATCTTATAAATTAAACACTTCGCCATGTGTCAACAATCACAGTTCACAAAAATTATATACATAATATTCAAAATGAAATCTCTTCCGAGAAAAGAAATTAAATCTTATCAAATCGTACGTTCTGGGAAGAGAATTATTTCTTAAAAATCGCAGTATCATATCTAATTCTTTGTCGCCCGGTTTCGGTGTACCGCAAAGTTCGAACTTAGGACCATTATTGTTCACTTTCTTATTAACCAAGTGGTTGATATACTATCCAGCTGTAAAATGTTTTAGTATTTCATATTTTATAGTTATTCCATTTTTTTGCTTTGTTAGTTCTCCGATTTTACAATTTTTTGAGTTAAATTTCGTGTTTTTTTATTTTTCAGCAAAAGAACAAATTTATCCAAATTAAAATATTGGAAAATTGGAAAATTGTATCATTGAAATAATGAAGAATACAAAAAATTTTAAATGAAAAATCCAAAAATTTCAAAATGAAAATCGAAAAACTAAAAAATCGAGACACCGAAAAATTGAAACATCAAAAAATCGAAGAACGAAACAATTTTGCAATTTTTCAATTTTAAAGTTTTCAAGTTCTTGATTTCCAATTTTAATCAAAATAAAATTTTGCAAAATCGAATAACTGTAACACCGAAACATTAAAAAATGCAAAAACAACAAAGAAATTGAAAAATCGACAAAACAAAACAATTCTGCAATTTTTCGATATAATATTTTTCAAATTTTCATTTTTTAATTGTTCAACAAAAGGACAAATTTATTCAAACTGAACTTTTGAAAAACCGAAAAATTGTAGCACTAAAACATCAAAAAACAGAATAATTAAAAATGGAGAAATTGAAAAAATCAACAAAAAGAAACAATTTTGCAGTTTTTCGATATACAATTTTTTAAATTCTCAATTTTTAATTGAATTGAAAAATCAGAAAATTGAGAAATCGAAGAATTGAAAAATAAAGAACACTTGAAAAAACCGAAAAAATGAAAGTTAAAAAATGAAAAAATTGAGAAATTGAACAATGAGATAATTAAAAAAGAATTGAAAAATCGAAAAATTGTAATATTGAAACCTGGAAACCCTGATTAATTAAAAATCGAGAAAGTGAAAAATTGAAAAATCGAAAAAACGAAAAAGTGTAAAATTCCACAGAAACAAAATCTAAAAATTAAAAAGCAAATTAGAAAATCGAAAAATACAGTCTGAACTTTTGAAAAACCGAAAAATTGTAACACTGAAACATCAAAAAAACAGAATAATTAAAAATCGAGAAATTGAAAAAATCAACAAAAACAACCATTTTGCAGTTTTTCGACATACAATTTTTTAAATTCTCAATTTTTAATTCTTTATTGTCTAAATTTTTCATTTTATAATTGTTGAACAAAAGAAAAAATTTATTCAAATCGAAATTTTGAATTGAATTCAAAAATCAGAAAATTGAGAAATCCAAGAATTGAAAAATAAAGAACACTTGAAAAAACCGAAAAAATGAAACGTAAAAAATGAAAAAATTGCGAAATTGCACAATGGGATAATTAAAAAAGAATTGAAAAATCGTAAAATTGTAATATTGAAACCTGAAAACCCTGATTAATTAAAAATCGAGAAAGTGAAAAATTGAAAAAACGAAAAACAAAAGCTTTTTATTAAACAAAAAAAATAAAAAAAAAATTCAAAAATTTTAAAATGAAAACCGGCAAAAATTGAGAAATTGTAAAAACCGAAAAATTTAAAACTTGAGAAATCGAAGAATTGAAAAAATACAGAAACTGAAAAATCGGATAATGGGAAAACCAAGAATTGTACAAGTGAATAATAAAAACCCTAACAGCAATTATTTGAAAAAAGTGAAAAATTAAAAATCGGCAAATTTAATTACAAAATTGTAAATTTGAAAAAAAAATAAAATGGAGGAATTGAAGAAATGAAAAATTCAAAATCAAAAATTGAAAAACCAGACTTGAAGTAACGAAAAAACAATTAAAAAATGGAACAACTGAGATAAAGATAAAACCTGTAAAATTGAAAATTTGTAACATTGAAACCTGAAAAAGTGATAAATTAAAAATCTAGGAATTGAAGAACCGAAAAAACGAAAAATTGTAAAATTCCACAGATACAAAATCTAAAAATTAAAAAGCAAATTAGAAAATCGAAAAATTAAACTATCTACAAATTAAAACCTCTAAAAACACAAAAATTTTACTGAAAAATGCAACAATTTCATAATGAAAATCCAAAAATTGAAACACTTGAAAAAACCGAAAAAATGAAACTTAAAAAATCAAAAAATTGAGAAATTGCACAATGAGATAATTAAAAAAGAATTGAAAAATCGAAAACTTGTAATATTGAAACCTGAAAACCCTGATTAACTAAAAATCGAGAAAGTGAAAAATTGAAAAACGAAAAACAAACACTTTTTATTAAACAATAAAAAATACAAAAAAAATAAATAAATTTAAAAATTTTTAAAATGAAAACCGGAAAAAAATAAGAAATTGTAAAAACCGAAAAATTTAAAACTTGAGAAATCGAAGAATTGAAAAATCACAAACTGAAAAATCGGATAATGGAAAAGCCAAGAATTGTACACGTGAGTAATAAAAACCCTAATAACAATTATTTGAAAAAAGTGAAAAATTAAAAATCGGCAAATTTAATTACAAAATTGTAAATTTGAAAAAAAATTTAAAATGGAAGAATTGAAGAAATGAAAAATTGAAAATCAAAAATTGTAAAACCAAACTTGAAGTAACGAAAAAACAATTAAAAAATGGAACAATTGAGAAAAATATAAAAACTGTAAAATTGAAAATTTGTAACTTTGGAACCTGAAAATGTGATAAATTAAGAATCTAGGAATTGAAAAATCGAAAAAACGAAAAATTGTAAAATTCCACAGATACAAAATCTAAAAATTAAAAAGCAAATTAAAAAATCGAAAAATACAAAAATTTTACTGAAAAATGCAACAATTTCATAATGAAAATCGAAAAACTAAAAAATGGAGAAATCGAAACATGGAAAAATAAAAAAATTATCATTAAAAAAAACGAAAAATATAAAAATCTCGAATCGAGAAATAAAAAATCTAAGAAACAAAATAATTTGGAATTACCTACTTCGAAGTACTTTATTTTTAATTTTTAATTTTCTCAATTTTTCGTTTTTTAATTTTTCAACAAAAGGACAAATTTATTAAAAAATCAAATTATTTAGGCCTAAATTTGCTTTGTTGTTCTACTCCAACTGACGAAGAGACGAATTAATTTTTACTAAAACAGAGCGACATTTAATTATTTCTCCAAAGTTGTAGAAAATGAACAGTTTCCTGCCGCTCTTCGATACAGAATGTTAATTTTTTGCTAAAAGACTGTAATTTTATTTCCAATCAATTTTTCAATGTCGCGGACTTTACACAATGGTTGGTTAAACTCGTTGTGATACATGTCATTACTACATCAACTTATAATTTAATTGGATACCTACAACCGTTGCGTGAATTTAATCAACATATAATGCAAGTTCTTATGTACAAAGATAAAATTTACTAGGCACACGAGTAAAAAAAATATCTACGACTATTTAAATAACGCATACATCAAGATAATCGTACTTACGCCACGATCTGTAAATATGGTCGCCAATGCTCTTCTAAAGCAATGTCCCGTGTATTTTTCAAGGTAACGTAATTTCAAGCAAGTTACAATCTGGTAACAATTTACTACAAGAAGGTAAGTACATCTTGTTACCACACTAGTGTAGAAATAAAACTACCATAAATTCTGCATTGTTTACAAAAATGTGCATTTTTTTCATGCATGTGGCGCATACTGTACACAGTTTATTTAAAATTCGTAGTTATTATCGTATTGCTTGTGTAGTGTAAAGCCGGTGCCCTTGACTGCGCACATTATAATCAGAGCGTTGTGTAATAAGCAATCGATTATTTTACTGACTTGTAGCAAAATACCCATCACATCGTTTGTTACCAGTGTGCCAACTGCATCCAAGTTAATACTCAGACAGTACTGCAATGGTGCAAAAAATAATTTATGTCCCCGTACTTGTAACACTTTTTTCCTACGTTCTCGTACAATTTTCTTATAAGTTTACATTGAAACATCCCTATGCAGATCTAAATGTCGTAAGTACAACACCTCAACATATTTATTTATCGAACTATCCAACATTTAGGAAGAGCTTATCACCAAATACGAATATCCGGTTCAAGTTCACCATGTCACCACCGAAGACGGATACATACTAACTCTCCAGAGAATCCCCCATGGACGAAAAAGTGGCCCCCCGCAAAACGGTCCAGTTTTGCTGGTACCCGGTCTCCTACAAAGTGCTTGGGATTTCGTCCACTACGGACCCAACCACTCTCTACCGTTCCTCTTGACCGAAAAAGGGTACGACGTTTGGCTGGGAAACGTTCGAGGTACCACCTGGTCCAGAAAGCACAAAACCCTAGACCCCGACAAAGATGCGGCCTATTGGAACTACACGTTCGTAAGTTTGACAATGTGCTCCAATTGTGTAATTTAGACTTTCAGAATTGAAGAAATTGCCATCCACGACCTACCCACCATCATCGACTATATTTTGGAAACCACGGGACGAAATTCGCTTCATTACGTCGGGTTTTCGCAAGGGACGAGTGCGTTTTTCATGATGGGGAGTCTAAGGAGTGAGTACCTTAGCAAGATTAAGCTAATGACGGCCTTCGGGCCTGCCGTGTTTATGAAAAATCCGAGAAGTCCGGTTGTGAAATTTATAGCAAACAACTGGAGAACTGGAGAGGTACTTACAATATTAACAACTTTAGCTTTAAACTTGTGGTTGCTTTCAGATTCTGTATAGCTTTTTTAAACGTCACGAGTTATTTGGAAGAAGCGACCCAGTCGTGTGGTACTTGAAGTACATCTGCAACGACGAAAATTCGTTTTTGATGAATTTGTGCATACACCACTTTTTTATTTTTGCTGGAGACAACTACGACGAGCTAGACACGGTACTAACAATTTTTCCGAAAAATAGATAGTTTGGCTTACATTTTTCGTAGAGTATGGTACCTCTAACCACTTCCAATTACCCCTGTGGAGCGTCATTGCGCCAAATCGTACACATGTACCAAATGATAAATTCTGGTAATTTCTGCAAATATGATTTTGGATCTCGGAATTTGGAAGTGTATGGTCAAGAATATCCACCGCACTATGACTTATCTAAAGTGAAAGTACCAGTTGCTCTCTATTATTCTAGTAATGACTGGATCGTCGACACACCGGTGATTAAATTGAAATAATACAAACACGAATATATTGTTGGGTTTCAGAACATAGACCGACTTATACAGTCGCTCCCCAATGTGGTGAAAAGCTACAAAGTACCTTTGGAGAAGTTTAGCCATAGCGACTTTCTCTACGCCAAAAATGTTGCCAATCTTCTGTACAATATTGTCATCGACGACATTTCAAAATACTGAACTGTTTAAAAATTGTAAAAAGTGTAAATATATTCTAGTCAGAGTAGCTTGGGTTTTCTTTACCTGAAACATTCAGTTTCACTCAGCAGTAGAATTAGAAGAATTAGAAATTTGATCGATACTGGACTTATTTCAAAAGTTCTGTTAGTTTAATTGCGTTAGTGTCTGATCCTGACGTCTTAAATACGTTTCGTTTGAAGTTTTCATTTGACGACGAGCGCTTTAAATATTGGCACGAAACTTCCCAGACGGACGTAAAAAAACTGTATTAAAATAAACTGCTCACTTTTCACTTGGTTTATTATGTTTTGCTTTATTATTCAGCGATGTTACCGCTTAAGGGAGTTGCTAGAGGAGAAATAACAATTTGGTCCTTTTTCTATGATAAAATGATGTTAATATATATGTATTATTCATGAAACTGAAGCTTCTTTCGCGTTCTAAGCTCCTGAAAACAATTTAAGAATTTTTTTAGAATAATAATGTCTTTATAAAAATCAAAATATATCATAAATTAATTCAAAGATAAAAGTCGCGAGTTCGATTCTCTCATGGGCCACTTTTTTTCTTACACTGTGACTGGCACTGTTCAACTTTCGCGAAATCTAACTACCCAGATCGTGAGACAGGCTCACAATGCAGAATCCAAACACGTAGTCAGCGCTCAGTTACACGAAGCGAATCAGTAAATAAAACTACTACACATTGCTAAAACAAGATCTGAATTGAAACTTCGGGCTGTAATAACCACCTGCATACCACATGAGATTGCCGGCGTTGATTCTATGCATATTCCAAACGAACTTAGCGCTTAGTAACCGAATTAGTTTAAGTTTTAATGTGTGTGTATTGGGTGAGTAATTAATACAGCAAAATTGAAACCACAAAGGCGTTTCAAACTACCTAATTATGTATGTACGTGTGTTCATGTTTGCTGCGTCGCCTCTTTGCGATTGCTTCGGCAATAATTGTGACAAAATCTGGAAATTGTAGAACACAAAACGTATTTTTTTTATCGGTAATTGTAGATTTTGTATGAAAACAATAAACAACATGTTTGCTGACATATTGTTTATAGGGTACTACATATTTAAAAGTACTATTATTTTTAAATTCTAGACAACACATTTTTTATTGTCACACGTGTAGTAATAATTGTGTGATTGTTTATTGCAGTTTGTCAGACATCGTAAAAACCACAACCTTCTAGCGCATATTTTAACTAAAGTACCTACAGTAAAACAAATACAAGTTCTTCGAAACATTTTTCATTGTGTCTTCCAACTCCTGACGATATCCTCAACGTTCATCTTTTTAAAGACACCACTCTTAATTTAAATTTGCAAATTTTCCGTTGTCTCATATTTTTCAAAAGAAACCCTATATTTTAAAACATTTTCTAGCTTTCCACTAAGTAAAACCTTTATTTAGTGCCATCAGAAGATTTATTGGAGAGAAATTTTATTTACGTTATGATAAACTCTTGTCAACGAATAATCCAGAAGATTAGATGCAAATTTATGACCAGGGGTGAGATTTTGTTTCTACAACGATAAAATATCGGTACCGATAAAATGTGGTCGTCTTTTTCTTTCGCATCTGAAATTTATATTTTCGTCCTTGTCATTTATCGCTTCGTTATCGCTTCGTATCATACCGCTAGAAACAAAATTCCACCCCAGGAACGAGGAAAATACAAAATCATAACACCACTATTTTGGTGATTGGCCTATACAATGACAGTGTAAAAAAGGTCCATGAATGACCTTCTTGTACTGCTAGAGTTGGCCTAAATTTTTATATATTTTGTATTTTTTGTGGAAACATTTGAATCCCAAGGATAAAAACTCAAGGCGGATTCAGAAACTACGAGTAGAGGAATATATTATTCAATAAAATTTAAATGATATTTATATTTATATTTATATTCCGTGTCAGTGGTGGGTCATAATAATAATATCATTACTTGGTCTTAGTACCCGTAATGATAGAAGTCTTGCCTGAATGCCGGTCATTTCCGGGTCAGTGGTGGGTCTGAAATTCATAATAATAAGACTTGTACATTGTTGTCCTAAATGAGTTCTATTAGACTTAACCTTGTTCGTCTTAAAAAATTATCGGGTTGCTGAGATCATATTTTGAACTTTTTTCTTTTTTCCTAAAACTATTTCGACAACTAACCGTATCCAGCTTTATAACTGAGCAAACTTTGAACTTTTTATCCAATCGATCGGTAATTTTGTATCCACTTGGTAGTTTCAAACTGTTTTACTTTCAGAGTTTAAACTAGGAAGTATTGTAATAGGGACCATCATGAGACCGGTTTCTTTCATGTTTTCTCGACCATTAGGGTACGAAAGAATAGATCTTTCGTTTCCGTCTGGCTGTCTGTCTGACGTCTGTTTTCTGTGTCGAATAACATACTCCTGTACTTGTGGTTTATGAATCGGTGTTAAGTTATTACTTTAGACATCCATTTTTTTGGAAAAAACAACAAACATATTTTATGGATATATATGTATAGCAACATTTTACAATTTAATTTATATCCGAGAATTTTTTGTGAATTTCTAGGCAACTTCGAAAAAAACTAAATTTTTTACTTTTTCCCAACAATTTCGGACTACCAAACTACCGTAGAAGTTTATTTCGATATCATTTCTTCGAAAATTACAACCATTTTATTAGAATCTCCAAAATGAAATATGAAATATGACCATTTCTGGGAGATATTTAAAATTTAATTATGAAACCGAATATTTGGAAAATCTTATTCTTATCTCAGAATTTTTGTGAATTTCTAGGTAACTTTATCAAAAAGTTATTTTTTTATCAAATTTTTTACTTTTTCTGAGCATTTCCGAATCACTAAAAGAGATTTTCTGGTTGATTTCGATTTGTAGAAATAATTTTCGGCTTCATTTCTTCGAAAATTACAACCATTTTTCTAGAATCGCCAAAATGATCATTTTTGACCAGTTTAAAAATTCTAATTTAAAATCGAACATTTAAAAAATTTTTATGAACAACTTGGACTGAAATTTTTTTTTTTAATTTTTGACTCTTTCCAAGCACTACCAAAAGAGACTCATTTGGTTGATTTTGTTTTGTAGAAGTTATTTTCTTCGTAAATTACAAAAATTGTTTCAGAATCGCGAAAATAAAATCTGGCTGTTTTTGGTATATTTTCAAAATTTGATTTTGAAATAGAATATTCCAAAATTCGTGGTCTTATAAGTGAGCTTTTCTCTGAATGTGTAGGCAATTTCGCTAAAAGGTATATTTTTTATTTTTTTAATGAAACTTTTTACATTTTCTGAGCATTTTCAAACTACCAAAAGAAATTTGTTTGGTTCATTTCGATTTGTAGAAGTTATTTTCTGTTGCATTTCTTCGAAAATTACAACCATTTTCCCAGAATCCCCAAAATGAACTATGACTATTTTTGGGTTATTTTAAAAATTACATTTTAAAACCGAATATTTGGAAAATCCAGGTGAATTTATAAGCAACTTCGCCAAAAAGTTATTTTTTTAATGAAACTTTTGACTTTTTCCGAGCACTTTCGAACTAAGGAAGTAATTTTTTGGTTGATTTCGATTCATAGAAGTTATTTTCGGCTTCATTTTTTTGAAAATTAGAACCATTTTCCAGAATCCCCAAAATGAAATTTTACCGTTTTTGGACTATTTACAACTAATTTTTAAACCGAATATTTCGAAAATCTAAGTCATATGTGGGAGATTTTTTTATAAATGTCTACGCAAATTCCGTAAACGGTTTTTTTTTTATTAAAATTTTTGACTTTTTCCGAGCACTTTCGAGTTACCAAGAGATTTTTTTGGTTCATTTCGATTTGTAGACCAAGTTATTTTCTGTTGTATTTTTCGAAAATTGCAACCATTTTCCCAGAATCCCCAAAATAAACTATGACTATTTTTGGGATATTTTAAAAATTATAATTTGAAATCGAATATGTGGAAAATCTAGGTCTTACATGCGAAAAGTGTTTGTGAATTTTTAAACAACTTCACCAAAAAGTTATTTTTTTTTTAATAATATTTTTTACTTTTTCCGAGCACTTTCGAACTACCAAAGATTTTCTGGTTGATTTAGATTTGTAGAAATTATTTTCGGGTTCATTTCTTCGAAAATTACAACCATTTTTCTATCACCAAAAAAAATAGCATTTTTGGCCAATTTCAAAATTCAACTTTGACATCGAATATTTCAAAACCCTTAAGTCTTATATTCCAGAATTGTTTGTGAATTACTAAGCAACTTGGCCTAAATTTTTTTTATTTAATTTTTTACTTTTTCCGAGAGAGACTCATTCGGTTGATTTCGTTTTGTAGAAGTTATTTTCGGCTTCATTTCTTCGTAAATTAAATAGAAGAATTTTTTCAGAATCGAGAAAATAAAATATAGTCAAATTTGGGATATTTTCAAAATTTGATTTTGAAATCGAATATTCCGAAAATCTTGGTCTTATATGCGAAATTTTATTTAAAATCACATTTTGAAGCCGATTATTTGGAAAATCTAGGCCTCATATGTGAAAATTTTTTGTGAATTTCCAAACAACTTCGCCAAAAAGTTATTATTTTAATGAAACTTTTGACTTTTTCGGAGCATTTTCGAACTACTGAAGGTTTTTTCTTGGTTTATTTCGATTCGTCAAAGTTATTTTCGGTTTCATTTCGTCGAAAATTGCAACCATTTTTCCAGAATCCCCAAAATGAAATATGACTGTTTTTGGACTCTTCAAAATCTCATTTTTAATCCGAATATTTAGAAAATCTAGGTCTCATATTCAAGAATTTTTTTGTGAATTATTAAGCTAAAAATTTATTTATTTTTTTTTTATACAATTTTTGACTTTTTCTGAGCACTTCCGAACCGCTAAAAGAGATTTTCTGGTTGATTTCGATTTGTAGAAATAATTTTCTGTTTCATTTCTTCAAAAATACAACAATTTTTCTAGAATCGCCAAAATGACCATTTTGACCAGATTTTTTAAAAATTCGTCTTTGAAACCGAATAATT